GAACGTCTGTTCCAAAACAAGCTCAAGCAATTCATTTTGTAGCAACACTTTTTATCATATACAAAATACGAATTATCAAGGTATAATATGTGGAATTTTGGATAGAAAGTCCTTCTGTCAAGTAACATCAAATGTAAAATGAATTAGTGTTTTTGAAGTTCAACTGTCCATGTAAACAGTTTGCCGTCACACTCTTACAAGTATACGATATCTCAATTCAGTGATTTCTAAAAAATAATATGTAAACTTTTTATGACAAGTGGAAACTTATGGACCAGGGATATGGAGAGCGACTTGATAGTAATGGTACAAGGGTCCTTATAAGAGTAAATACGTAGCTTTCGAAACAGCTCTCGTTTGCTGTTTAACCTTTGGATTCGATTCGAGGTTGCCTACCATTTACAACGAAAGGCATCTTATTGAACTTGCAGATTTTGATTCGATTTTTGGACATTTTGGTGCTTTTGAAATGCTGTTAGAGCACAGCACTTTGAGCATGTAGGACTAAAGTTGATATCGCCTTCAGATCATATGCGATCACTAGTTCTGAACACATTAACAGCAATGAGAGGTTAAATCAGATTATAACTTCGACATACGCAGTGGGACGCAATAGACCTCTTGACTAGCCTTCGAGTAAATACTCCTATACGTTTGCAAGTCCTCTACGACTTTTTGTATTGGACACACTTTAGCAAAGGCTGGTCTCGCCAGTTCTTCCGCAATGAGCTTGGATTTCACGATTGTTGCCAGCGAGGAGTTTAGTGGCGTGTATTCAAGAAACTTTGGGGATTCATCATTCATTAAGAATAAGATTTAATGACTGTTAAGAAAAAATACAGTGCGAACATCTTCTCCTAAACGTTTTTGGGAATTAGAAAGAGAATAAAAATTTTCCTAAATTTTCCTTTTTTGCAGTTTTATGCAATTAGTTCAGGCTTTTCATTCTGCCCTACTACGTTGGAGCTTTTGTCGATCAATCGTTGGCATTTAATCGTAGAAGGGATGACAAGGCGAAGATTAGGCCAGAAGTACGTTAGCACTGCTCTAATGCACATTTGAAGCATATAACAGTGAAAGCGACATTTAGGACTTGGAATTCGACCAAGAAGACAACTCTCTCACCTACGAGACAATCCCAGGCATGGGTCCAGGAGCAAAACCACCTCCTTCAGTATGCAGTTTGACCAGCAGTAGACTGGAGAATGGACTAATTAGGTACAGTGATTTGATTTCGTTGGAGACGAGATTCTCTGCTAATTCTTATTCTTTTTTATTTCAAGCTAAGGAGAAGGAATTTTTTATGTTTGAAAGTGAGGTTTATAAGACGTAAGTTGGGTTAATCAGATATATAACATGCGAGGCATTAATAACTTAAAATTATTAAGACTTTCCGGTGATTGCTGGTTCAACCTAAAAGAGAATAGCACATTATTATGAATCACTTGTGCCATATGACTTATAAACTAATTCTAGCGCAGCCAAAGTTCAGTCCATGAATGTCATGCTGTATCCTTAGGCAAAAATAAATTACACTAAGTTAGAAACTTACACTTCTTCAAACAATTCTGATAGTTGAGGTTACCTCCGATATTGGAGTAAATGTCGTTATTAGGTGCTAACCTTCAGTCTACGGACTAGCAAACAATCGTGAATTGTAAAATGAATTACTTACAAAACGCTTTACTTTAGCAGGATAAGATTTAAGGTAATTTTTTAAAGAATAGAAGTTGACTAGCCTGTGCTTCTCTTATTGCATGACTCTCCAGATTTATGATTTTTGCCAGGTTTTTGTGGTTTTTGAAAGAATCGCTCTTTAGGAGAGTAAAAATCAAGAAAGATGAAATGCTCTAGGCGATTTTTCCAATCTTCCAACATCGATCTGGATGTTTTTGACTTCTTCTTATCACAAAAATCTTATACTTTTACTGCATTATATCAAGAATCTTTTAGTAATCTGAACTCCAAAGAGGTTAGTCACGAGTTACGTGTAGCTAAATTTTCCGAAACTGCAACTATAGATTTATTGGAGATTTAGAAATACATAATGGACAGTCCTCAACCTTCTCTTTTTCCTGGTCGTCGCCATTTCAAACCATTTACAAACATTGTTTTGAGCTATCCCACGCTCTCGCATGGTGCTGTTACGACTCAACTTATATTTATCTCTACAGGAACGTTTTGTAGCGCGCATTCTTGATCTGTATCTTTTTCATTTAATAGCGTAAAGCCAACAAGGGATTGTATTTTTTTAATAAGGTAAACATGCTTAGTTTACTAGTTAAAAGTTTTCTTTTTTTACAGAGATTCAGCAAGCAGCGCAGATGCAATCACGAAGATTTACGCCTGTGCAACGATGTGGCATGAAACGACGCATGAGATGACGTGCATGCTGAAGAGCATCTTCCGAATGGACGAAGACCAATGCGCTCGCCGAAATGCACAAAAATATCTGAAAGTAAATATTTCAAAAGTTTCATTTCCTCATTCTTCAATTTGGTCTTTGGCTAGGTTATCGATCCGGACTACTATGAGTTTGAAGCCCATATATTCTTCGACGACGCTTTCGATGCGGAT